CTTAGCATCAGAGCTCACATTTAAGCAGCAGCAGATCAAAAGCAGCTGTATGACTTCTCCACCCTCCCCCTTCTAAATGTGGACAGCTGCATCACAGCAGGTGATGGCTAACACAGCAGTGCACACACAGCCACAGGCATCTGGACAGAAGCACTTTTGACTACCTGGGGCCCAGTTTCAGAGTGTTTCAGCAAGCAGGTAAAAAACGAGTTGTGTGTGCAACATTTATGCAAGGGGGCAAATAGTCAAATCTATATTAGTTTTCCTGAAGTGGGAAGGAGAAAAGCAGTTAAGTCAAGCCAAGTTCTGTTGATTTTTCCTGCTGCTGCATTTGGTACACAGCTACTATCCGTGTCTTCCTTAGGAGGACAAGCACATGCCTGAACAGCACTGGTCACTAAATCAGCCTCTTTCACAATTTGTCTGTCTTACTGTCGACCCTACTCAAAGCCAGCAGGTAGGAGAGCACCAAAGAGGAGAGTACCTTCCTCCCTTCCCTCAAGCTTCAATTGCTAATTCATGTTTCCAGCCTCTTGAGACTCAGCAGTGTCCAGGTGTCCTCAAAACTCAGGGTACCTGAGCACTTGGTACCCCAGGCTGCTTGCACCACTGAGATGTGGGTGCAGGGCAGAGACATGGCCAGTCTCTTGCAAAAGGGGAAGAAATAAATGTGATATGATATATAGGAAGAACTTGAAAGGGATTAAGAATGAGATCAAAAAAGGAAGCAGCAATGAGGATTGCTGGAGAATTCAAGAGGGTGCATGTACACTTGTTGGAAATGTGAGGATTTGCCAGGTGTGAAAACAGTTTGGCTAGACAAAACATTAGAAACCCGTTGCTGTTGAGACCATGATGAAACCTGGGTGGGGAAGAGCAAGATAGTAGCTACTGGACCATGAAGAAATACTTGGCTGGGGCATGAGGGGAAGAGGGGCGCTGCTGTGCAGCTGGTAGACTTGTCAGAAGTGGTTTCTCACTCAGAGTAAAATTGAGGGGACAGATAAATTAGAGGGCTTGGCAAAAAAATTGGCTTCTTAAATCACAGTCTGCTGCAGGTCTTGGGTTCGGTGTCCTTCATCTGGCCCCAGGAATCTGCTTTGCAGCCTGCAAAGCATTTGACAAGGAAATCTCCTTCTCCCAAGGGCAGAGAGGGATATGGGAGGAAATGGGGGAAAAGGCAGAGAAAGGTTGTATCTATACTGTTTCAAGTTTATACTTTGAACTGGACTCAGAGCATTCCAACCCACAGCGCGTGGAGTAAAACATGCAGGCAACTTGTAATATTCATTAACAGGCCACTCAGAGCTCACAGGGGCACTTTTTATTTTTTTTTTTTTTATTTTTTTTTACTCCTATTGCTATGATACAAGTCTAAAGAAATGGAAAGGGAGGTTAGTTGTGGGGGAAGTGCAGTGTACTCTGTGAGACAGCAGGGACATGGCAGCTGGAAGCTTGCTGGAGCTCAATTAGCATTAGCAGCCTGGTGTATCTATCAGCAGGGCAAGGGAAGGTGGAGGTTGGGCCAGAAACAGGTTCCTTGTGCTGTCAAGAAACAGAGGCCATGGAGAACCAAGGAGAAATATGTCCCTGTCTGTTCTGGCCTAGCCAGAATGGTGTCTCACAAGCAACAGGATCAGGTACTTCAGCAGCTAGAGGCCATGTCAACAAGGAGGGTCTTAAAACTCTGGTGGTGTAGAGAATATCCCAAAAGCTGATGCCTGTAGAGAGAAGCTTGTAGAGGAATCTGGATGCAGGAGTGATTGTGAACCTTTGGAGCTATAACCCATGTTCTAATACTGAAGAACTGAAATATATGGTCAGGGAAGGGACACTACATTCTCCTGTGGCTCAGCTAGGAGTGATGTATCCTTTAAAGCCACCCAGCTTTAAGGAAATCGTTCTTAAGAGTGTGTTTGGCCTTCTACTCTCTCTTATGACTCCCTAACTTCTCCTAGTAATCAGAAAGCATTTATATGAAGAAAGAGGAAAAAAATTTCAGGAGACTTTTCTCAAGTTGCTCAGGCAAGTCCACTGCTGGCCAAGCCACTAAATCACTCACTTTCCTGGTTGGAGACAGCACGCCCTTACTGAAGTATGGGAGAAACTATGGGACCTGCTGAAAGATGGGGTGAAGGATCTTAGTGCCAAGTTGCCAAGTTCTTGGACATGAAAGAGCAATCAGGCTCTAAGTGTTTTTGCTGAGAGTAAGAAAGACATCTGATGTGTGCTGCATCTGTGATACTTTCCTACACTTAAAACAAATTCATGGATTTGCAGCATGTTCTCACTGGATTTACAATGAGTTTCTGAAGTGAGTTTTATCACTGTAAAACTAGACAGATGCACAACAAAAACTGCAAATACTTATTAGATCCTCTGATAAAGCACAGTGAGACAAGTCCTGTTGCCATAACAAGCTGCAATTACAGCAGGGCTATTGCTCGGGTCTCCCTGTTTTGAAGGACCTTGTCCTGCCATGCTCTGCTTAAAATTGCTGGCTGCAGCTTATGAGATTCAGTGGTGACAGGGAATGTAAGCAGCGATGGATGCTGATGCATCACAACCAACGCACCATGATGCTTTCCTCCCTTGCCATTTCCTTGTGCTCTTGTGAATAGCTGCATTGTTTTATGGATCTGAAGAATGGGGCATGGGACCGTGAAAGGAATTAGGTCAAAACCCCCATGAAACAGTGCCCAGAATATAAAAGGAAACTCCACTGCAGTATGATGCTCCTTGGTGTGTGCCGAGATGATTGTGCATGTTTCTCTAGTGACCTTAGAAATGGAGCAAAGGAGCACTAGCAAAGTCAGAAATTTTTAACATCCTTACAGGAAAGGCACATCTGAGTGCTGTACAAATGCTAGCTCACTATGTTGAAACTCTTCAAGAGTAGTTTTAAAAACAGCCTAAAGTTGGGCTTCCAGCTCCATGCATAGTAAGTAGCCTGAATTTTCCAAATGGATTGGGAAAAAGAAAAAAAAGCAATCAATATACGTTAATCCTCTTAGTGTTTGAAGTTCAGAGTAGCAATGGCATTCTTTCCTGTGAGAAACCCCTACTGAAACAACTTGTGCTTAAAATTCTTCCCTCTTCTTTTGTTCCTTCCACTCTCTAGATCCTTCATCACAGGCAAGCTACTCCTTATGCCTTTGTTTCTTTGTGTTGTCTCTATCCTATTCCTTGCCTGGATGATGGTAAGAGGAAAACACATCATATACAGGATGAAGACTTCTAAACCACGTGTTTTATTTTGGGAAACAGACAAAATGGGATGTTTAACTTGCATATAGGAGTCAAATATGGTCACACATGCAGCATGATTGAAGTGAAATATTAAAAATGGTGAGCACTTATGTTCACAGACAGAGGAATGCACACCTCTGCATTCCTAGTTCCAGTACTAAGCAGATGCTTTAGCCAGCTTCCTAGCTTCCATTTCCTGCTTAGCCTTTTCTCTGAGCTCTCTTTCTCTCTCAATGAGAAGTACTTGTTCTTCTTCCCACTCCTTTAGCTTCTGCTCATGTTTGGCAATGTCTTCCACTTCACATGCTGGCAGCTTTTCCTTGACAAGTTGGGTGGTCAGGGTTAACAGGCTTTCAGATTCAACCTTGCCAAGTGAATGCAGCTTGGAGTACAGCTCCTGTCATAAAAAGAGATTTGGTAAGAAGTGTGAAGAAAGAGCCAGTAAATCACAAAATAATCAGCCACAAAATACTTCCCTATAACCGATACATCACTGTTTGCATTATTATTATTATTATTAGCTGGGCTATACAGGCCTGGAAACTATCACATCAAAGTGTTTGAACTGTGGTAATTGGTACCATTTCTTGAAATGCTATTATCAAGAATATTATTTTTTGAACAACAAAACTAAACCAATGAACTTTTAGTTTCATTAACCACTGAAAATGTCTTCTTTTTCCAAGTTCATTTATTTGATATTAACAAAGATCAGCTGACCAGTCAACCATAACAAATATAATCTAAACACTTTGGTTTTGTGTTTTACCTCAAAACCAGCCGGATAATTTGGTCCACACTGCCTGCATCAGCATCCCTCTCAACAGATACATGTAATTTCAAATGTTTTAACAGCATACTAAGTAATTCCCATGGTTTTTCTTCCTAAGTTACTGTGATCCAAAGAGTGACTACGCTTACATAGACTACACAACACTGTTAAGTGATTTTTTTTCAGGGATATTCTACACTGAAACTAAGAGCAAATAACTCAGTAAGAAACTGCAGTTTTCCTTTCTCAAGCTTTACTTATCTAGATTTCATGCAGCATATGCACCATTCACTTAGGATGATGAATCATCCAGTGATACTGTTTCTGGCTTTCTGGAATCTTTAGCCTGATGGCTAACTAACACTTTGATTAATTGCCTTAAAAGTGCAAATACACAACCAAAGAGGAGATGACATTGCACTGGAAGATTCTGTATCTCTTGTTCACTCATTATACATATTTTCTCGATTGTTCTTTTAAATAAAAGACTTTACTAAGCCCAGCACTTGCAGAAATGTTTTAAGTAAGTATGCATTCTAAAGAAAGGTACATCCATACTTCTTTCACTTGTATAAAACTTCTTGTTTTGCATTGAAGGATAATGGAAAGAAGATGTGGGAATCATTCACCTCCAAACAAAATGGCAGTTCTAGAGCCATGTAGATATCCAGACTTCCAGCTATAACTGAAAGCTTATGCATTGTGCTGCTGGCCCACAGTGCTCCTTTTACCTGAGCCCGTGCTGGCAATAATCTGCAAAGGCACTTCTTCTCAGCTCCTGGCTGGAGGTTCTGCCTTGTTCTTAGGGAGGAAACTACTACATCCCTTCTGAGGCCTCTCCATTTCTCTCTCCCTTAGCCAGCACAACTGCAGGCTTTGTTGTGTCTTATTAGGCCCCTGAAGGTTTGAACTGGACATAGAGCAGATTAAAGACTCTTTAAAATGCTAGACATGCAGGTCTGAGGGGCTTGGTATTTGGCTCTGTCTGGGTTTTTAATTTTATGATAAAGAATAAAAACAAAGCCAATGTCTTCAAAGCTAATGGACTAAAACCAAATTGAATAAACTTATTTAGGTGTATTAGTCTCTATTTTGTTTGAGGTATCAGTAAGTAAGTATACAAGGCATCAGTGAGAAAAGTGAAGAGACAGTACAGCTTGGGTTTGGGGAAGGAACTTGACAACTATGCTCATGTCTACCGACTAGGTATGCAGTTTAAATGTAATTGGTTTACATCCTTCAGATTCTTACTATTAAACTCTACTAAGGATGTGCTGAAAAGGGGCTTTATGCACTGAACTTGAACAGTATGAAATTGAACTACAGAAAGGCAACAAACTGGAAACTAGCAAGTCTTGTCCCCTAAGCCATTACTGGTATCACTGAACTTCTGGAATATTCACTGCTCTTCTGTGATATATCAGTAAAACTAATTTAGGAAAGCAGAAGGCTATATGTCCTGCAGGTACCAAAAGGGCACATTCTTAAATGGCTAAATCATTGACTTTTATAAGCAGTCTCCAGGGCTCTGCATGCAGACAGTTAGGGGAGGTGTTCCCAGCATTTATGTGATGAAATGTTTGCCCACTGATCATTGACACAGATGGAAGGAATTGCCTGAGGAGCATTGTACTGAGTAGTCTCAGCATATGGGATCCGAAAACAGGTAATTACAACACAAACAACAGTGTCAGTGTCTAGATTACAGCTCTAAAGGCTTTATCTGGAAAGAGCCAAATGCCCTCAAGTTCTGTTTGTTTCCATGGAAGTGAAGGACATGTATCCGTATCTGTTAGGCTGCCATGGCTTTTTCAGGTACTTCCACAAATAGCTGTTCTGAAGGTTGGTATGAGACACTGAGTCCATTCCATGGAATATAATGGAGGAGTATGTGTATGTCTGGAGCAAATCCATATGCTTTTCCTTGTATTCTGAGGTGTACGATTTGTGAAAGAGAATTGGGCATGCAGGAGGCAGGAGCAACTGGTTTTGAGTTCAAGGAGAAAGACTGGGATATGCTGGCTAATGCAGGGCTGAACAAAGTGCAACTGAATTGTTTGCAGCAGCAGAAGTGCAAACCCTTTGCTGGGGTTACACAGAAGAGCAGGTGATCTGTCCTGGGACAGCAGCTGTGAATGCACACAGCACCAGGTTGCTTCAGAGCTGCCACCTTCCCTCACACTTGTATGGATTTCTAGTGCATTACTCTACCCTGTGAACGACACCTGTAAGTGTCCAGGATTAAGCTGGGAAGAGTGACTACTGCTGTCCTGATGGATTTGAGAGGAGAGTTTCAGAACTCTTTCAGGCTTGGCTGAAATGGCATTCTGACTTGTGAGCCCCTTTTCTCATTCAGACAACCTGAAATTGTGGCTTATGGACATATAATTACTGTTGGATGCCTAGACTCCACATGAGGGCTATGTCTTTCTCATATGCAGACTTTCCCGGAGTTAAGCAATGGGTCTGTAGTTTTTCGGTCCAAAGTCAGGGCACTCACTGCCACACCAATGAATGCCTGAAAGGGGATTAATTATGGAACTTGTGGAAAGGTTGAGGTGAGAATAAAACTACCCTCTTGGCACTAGCCTGTCCCCAATTTGATATTCAGGCCTTGTTTCGAGCACTCTGCATTATTTTCTTCAAGGCTAGACAATGGATAGGCAATGAGAGACACATAAAAATGTCTTACTCCCTCTTTCAAAGGGCACTTGTGTTTACCTAATTCACTGTAATTCATCCAGGCATTAATTACCACATGCTGAACACCCACTGATTTCCAAATACTTTAATTAAAAAGTTCTAACTGCCTACAAAGCAAGTTTAATATCTAAAGATCAGTGGCAAAGTTGTGTAAATAAAAATTAAAGAAAGGAAAAGTCTGTGTGTGTGAGGTGAAACCATAGGATACTCGTCTTTTAACTTCTGAAATTTCTTCAGAACAGTCTGTATCCAGAACAACTGTGCAAGGTCACAGCCGTCCAGGTGACAGCAGCAAGGGAAACTGATGGGCTATGAGATGAGTATTGCTCCTGGAACTATAAATCAGATGAGTTTCAACCTAGGGTATTTGATTTTTACCACAGCACAAATCAGAAATGATAAAATAAAATGAGCTCATTATATAGCTATGAGATGATCACATAAAATGCACTTGTTATACAGATGTGCTGTAATGAATAGCTGTTTTTCTTACTGTTATGATCAGCATGACAATCCAAAGATAAAAAAGAGGTGATAAAGCCTGACTTAATTCCCCAGACTGAAAGTACAGGATGCAACATTTCTAAATAATTGTAGTGTACACAAATGGACAATAAATTCAGGATGGTCTCATGCCTACTATAATTAATTTTAATGAGCAAGAGCCCACACAAGGTCAGATAATGGGTCTAATGACATAACACTTATGCGAACAGGACTGGATTTATCATTTTGATGTATGAAAAGTGAAGATAAAATCCCAGCAGACAGACAAAAGACAAGTGGCCTTGAGCATTTATATCTTTGCTGCTTCCTGATTGAACACGTGAAAACGTAAGGTGACATCAGTTTCAAAAACGTCAAGTAGGACTCCTAATAGACTGACACTGAAGGGGTGTCAGTCTATTAGCCACAGTAAGTCAGCATATATATTTTCTAGTATGTACCACAGAGATATTCTACAGCTTAGGATATTTAAATAAATGAAACTCTCTTACTTTGAATCGACTGTAGTACTCAGGTGCTTTAGATTGCTCTGTTTCTTCTGATTCTGCACTCTGTGACTTCTGCTCTAATCCCTTGACTTCTTCAGCAGATTCTGGACCAGGTTTGGCTTCAAGGACAGACTGTAAAATGGTCTCCAGGGCATCAATCTGAACAATCACATTTGTCATGGTAAGCATAAACAGTTTGGAAATACAATCTGAGTAACACAACTGTCATATATTCAAACAACTTCATGAGTTCCTCAATTTGTCTAGGGTTTGTAAGGAGAAAATATGACTGCTTTAGTGTATTAGGCTGAGTTCTTTACATCGTAGCAAGAAAGATACCTCCAAAACCATACACCAAAAGAGGTACCTCAAAATGGTAGAAGTTGCAGATGTGACCTGTCCTTGTACTGTCATGTATTACAGAGATGCTTCAGAAAATGGAGCAACAGACAGCAGAACCTGCTGAGCAGTGCCCTGCCCTTTTGTTTCAAGAGCGACTGCAAGCCTAGTAACTACATGAGCAAAAGGGAGGCTCCCATGACCAGGGACACCTTCAGGAAAAAGTACCTAAAAGAGGAGGTGAGACCTCAGCGATGTGTTTATGTTTCAGCACATGTTGTGGTGGTTTCTTAAATTACTCCTAATCTGAGTCCAGGATCAGTCTGATGCCCCACAACAGTCCTAAGCCTCAAGTCCCTTAGTCACTGTTGACTTCATAAATGAACTGAATCTATCCACTCTCCCCAAATGAGGGCAATACCTTCTAGAAATCACTCTGTCGACTTTTTGGACCAGTACCACTCAGGACATCATCTCAGAGGGCAGAGAATAGGATAGCTGTGAGATTAGGATAGCACATAGGATTAGCTGTGAGAGTAAGAATATGTGGTATTTCATCCTCACTGCTAAGAAGTATGTCTCTGAGCAAGTTCAAAAACTTGAGAAACAAAGGTGTCTTCCCACCCCCACAGACATGCGCTCCCTGTGACACAGATCCACATGTCTCTATAGGGAGGGAAAGGCTTAGAAAACATACTTAAATGGTCTGTGGCAATAACACACACTCATTGCCAAGGACATGCCAGTAGACATTATCACTGTCTCATCAACTGAAGCAGTGATTTTGTTCTAAACATTACTTCTCCTGTCTTGCAAAGGCCTCTGAAGTTTGCCAGGCATCTTCTCATTAGCAAGGCACAGAATTCACAGGTTTTACTGGATTTGACTTATATAAAATTCCATTTGTTCAGTGGGTTATTGCCTTCATACTCACAGCTTCTTTGCAGATTTTGCTGTCTCCTGACAATGAAGCCACAGCCTCCATCACTTGCAAGGCTCTATTCAAATATCCAGGTGTCCACATCAGTGGCATTAGATTGTATACAGCTCTTAGTCCCTTATTCAACTCCACTTTTCCTGTGATAAAAACATACTTTAGTGTTACTACTTCAATACCTGAGTCTTAACAGAATCCATATGGGTTGGCTCTGGTTTTCAGAAGTGACAGCAAGCGTCCTAGCTTCTGTGATAAAAACAACACACTTCTATAAAGTTGCTCTGATTGAACTATTACCTTATTTTATCAAGGCATCTTCTTTTTGCACAACTTCATGGTTATTACGTGCTTGTTTCTGATTCCTCCCCATTCTGCCTCACCAGATGGAAATCAGACTAGAGTGGCCAGCTTTTCTGGTTGTCTGGCTTTGGAACAGCAGCTCTCAGAAGGATATCTGAAGACGGCAGATAAATGCCTCCTTAGCTTTCAGGGACTGGCTGTGGAATACATGTGCATTAAATCTGACTTTCTGGACTAAACTCTGTGGCCTTTAGGCTTTACCCACAGATTATAGCACATGCTCTGGCTAAGTATACAACTTAGCACCCCTGTTTCTGCTGGAGCTTCCTGAGAGAAAATAGGGGAGACCTGCCAAAATAAAATTTTGGTTCTTGATTTAGGACAATCTGTGCACTGAGGTGTTCACTGACTTTAGCAGGACCTGTGATGTACTGCACCAGTGACAATGTGGTTTTTCTTCTGACAGTAACTAATAGAGAACATGAAACTCCTACATAATAGACGAAATGCACATCACATTGCAGCTGATGCAATTTACAATGATTGTCACTCTAAGGCTTTCATTTTGTCACTGTTGATGTAATAAGTAATACCCCTTCAAGTGCAGCTCACAAGAGTTGTGTCCAAGCTCTCAATCTAATTTGCACTCTGGCTATAATGACACAAAACTATGAAATGCACCTTACTCTTCTTTACATGGAAGAGAACAGTTTAGGAGAAGCAAGGTAATAAGTGCACAGACAAAGCCTATGGACTATGGCTAAACTAAAATAGCTGAGGTGCTTGAGGCCAGTCTGTGCCCACAGACATCTTTCACTCTCTGAGAGGTTGGTTCCATTAGTGTTGGCAAGACTTTGGAATATGTGACATAACAGTAAATAGCTTTTGATCTACCGAATGTCAATGTCATGAAACAAGCACTACTGCTCACAGACAAGAGTGAAGTGCATTTGTGAAATACAGCCACTACTCAACCAATCCATACAACATTAAAAGCTCTCCAACATGAATGCCAACTGGACAGCAAAGTCCCTATTTGTATCAGTATCTCCACTGGACTGCAAACTACAGCTCTATAGAAAATCCTGCTTTCAAATTAATTTTCACATTTACCCCCCTTTTTGACTGAAAATTAAGTTTTTTGTTTTACAGAAATGATAAATGTGAGTCAGCACCCTAACTCTGCCACCACACATCATATTTTGAGGCCACATTTTAAGTACAAATCCACTTATATCCTCAATAATGCAGTAATGGAACAACAATTTACAATAAACTGTAAATTAATTAATTTCTTTCCAGTAAATAATCATTTTGTAGAGAAGGAAAAAACCTATCTGCATTATATTCCTCTAAAGGTTTAGAGGAAATTCAAGAATTACTTGCCCATTCCCCTTCCCTCCAATTCTGAACATGTTCTGATCTAACTTCTCTTTAATAATATAGCAAGTCATTAGCAGTGAAGACTCCTTAACAGATACAGGATAAAGGCACTATTATCTGCTGTTCACAAGCCAAACATTAACTTTACAGTGAGTAGTATATGTTCTAAACATAATGTTTTTCAGGCTGTGCTCTCTGACTTTCTAAGATTTAAAGATTATTTTAAGACACTTGATAACTAGAAAAAGAGTCTACTGTCTTTAACCTTAAATTTGTGTCATGGAAATCTGTACTTCTGGGGTATTTTTTTAAATTTGTTGCTCAACCAAGAACCAATCCTGTGTTCTTTAAGAATGTCTTCTTTCTTTCAGCTGCCAATCCAAACCTGCAGGGAACCCTAGAGCTGGTTCTGAGGTTGTCTGATGAAGGGCATACTATTCAAGTCAGTACTACTCTCCAGGCTTACAAAACAGATTCACTCATAACTCTGAAATTGTCCTTCCATTATTTCCTTTTTTTTCCCCTTTGTGTTCTCCTTGATTACACTTTAATAAAGCAAAGATGGCAATTTTATTCAGCCTCTGAAGACACGAGGGAAAAAATGATTGAGGGAGGTGAAACTTACCAAGGAATGCATAGCCATACAGCTGGGAGCTAAAACCCACAGTGCTACTTTGCTTTAGACTCGCAAGCACTAGCGATGCTCCAAGATTTCTCTCCTCTTCCCACTGCAAATAATGTAAACTAAGTAAGCATTCCTAAACAAACACACAAAAAATGGCAGCAAAGACAGCACGTGGCTTTCATCAGATATCTTAGCAATAAAGCAAAGAATCATTAAACGTGTCCAGTGTTCAGTTACAGGAGCAGTACACATTATACAGAGGAACACCTCTCTTCCCAGAAGACTGTAAAATGTGAGTGGTTGAAATTTTGCATGGAAGTCAATCAGTGCATTTTCTTCAGGACAATGGATTACACTGCTTTACACTGGCCAAGCCCTGTCTCTGTCCTGTATGTCCTACCACTTGCTTCAGGCTAGCACTGCTGAAGAAAACTATTACATGGCTTCTGTACTACAGCAGCCTTTTCTTTAAAATATGTGGCAAGATACACACTCCACTATCCCTCACTCGAATACGAAAATGCTGAGAGAAGCATATGCAGCTAATGGCTGCTTTGAGTGCAAAATCTGCTCTGTGAAAAGAGCATGTGCAACTCACCAAGACCCCTCCATGCCACAGGATTAAAAGCACAGCTGTCTCTCCAGCTACAAAGACGTACCAACTGTCTGAGCCAGACCACCAGTGATGGCTAAAGAAGGGCGCCCTATCAGTAAGTACGTTAAAACCACAAGAGTAGTGTAAATTTTGTTTAGGTTGTTTCATAGCACAGTGCATTTTTCATGACTAGAGAAGCAAGTGAAAGGAGCTTTATTGCAAGTGAAAGGAGGTGAACAACTCCCATGGCTAAGAAAATGAGGGAAAGGAAGCTATAAAAGGCAACAGACTGGAGAAGTCTGACTATCTTAATACATGGTTTTTGTGACAGGGTACTGCAATGTCTCGTTGATTACCTTATGAACTGAAAGAAATACCCCTGGCGAAGCAGCTTTCTGAAAAAATCCTTGAAGCACGCTGAGTCTTAAAAAACACAAAAGTTCGTTCTTCTGGTTTTACTAGAGTTTTCTTTTCAAGGTATGGCATTTTTTTGTGTCTCCATTCAGGTGCTACAAGAATTTGCATGTTATTCTCTGACACAAAACACCACCACCCGACAGCCAGGCAAGGTATTTGCCCAACTCAGAAAAAGCATACAAGGGAACAGGGCTGCTTTGTGCTGAATTCAACACTCCAGGTGAATGTTATAAGAAAATCAGATGCAACTAGAAAAATAGGGCTGTTACCAGCCTAGGTTCTTTTGGGAGCTAGCGGGACTGCTTCGTAGTAGAAGGCAGCAATCATTCTGATTATTTGCAACTGTCAAGGAGGAAACTTTCTGGGGAGAGCCAAGACCAGTCCGGCTTTCAGTGATGTGTACAACAGCAGAGAAATGGAAGCTCCCTATCACCACTGCTATACATACTAAGAACTAATACAGTCAGATTGCCCAAGATTTAATTCTCAAAGTTAAAAAACATTTCATCAGGCTGCTGGACCCCAAGCTAGAGTCAAGGACCTATCTGCAACAGGACACTGGCTGACCTGCCTTGCACCTCGGGAAAAAAAAATGGGATTTTCAGGAGTAGCTGAGCATTTCTCCTTACTCTGTCTGCCCCCACTTCCTAAATCAAACACAGAAAATTGGTGCTGAGCATCATGACGTTTTAAATAGTCTCTACAAATAAAAATACGATTTCATTGCTGTCTTTGGATGGGGTTATTTCAAAATGCATATTAAGTAAGTCACAGCTATGTCAATATGCTTGCCTTCAACATGTTGTATGGTCACACCACTCTTGCTTGCACATTCAGGTTTCATGAAACCTTACACGTACTGATAAATAGTTGTCTCTGCAGTAAGGATATGCAAACAATGTGGACAAACACACTAGAAAAATGAGATTTTCATGCCTACGCTTTTCATATAAAAGTGACTGAGCATACTTGATTTCTGGGTAACAAAGAAGAATATCCAACAGGGCAAATGTGCATCTCTTTTCTTTGGTGAAAACTGAAATTACAACCCAGTTGAGTTAAACTTTAGGATACCTGTAATATGCATTTTGGAAGATGCTTCACGTAAGACACATGGAGGCTTCAAGCATTTTCCTTACGCAAGACAACATGCTATTGAAAGCTTGTGCCAAACTACATAAAAAGTAGCTCCCTAAAAGTGACGGGCACTGTAGAGCCCTTTGCTGACTGAGCCCCTTCTGCAAAGGTAGAATAATGCCACTTCCAAGACCCTGACCTGTCATGTTGGCCTTAAGCAAGCAAGCTGTGAATAATAAACCCCTAATCCTAGGAGACAGGAGGGTGTAACAAATGTAGTTTTAAAACAAATACGTATAAGAAACAATACACCCAAAGCCAAATAGGATACTAAAAAACCTAGTGAAAATGCTCTATAATTCCACGCCACCACCATTATCAACATTCAGCTTAACAGGGTCCTATACAATACGCACCATAGTTTTTTTGTGGTAATTGATAAAAGTCTGCTTTGAACTATCATTTCATATCCTTCAAATACATTACATCTGAAAATCCCAACATACCTTCCCTTTCACAGAAAGGAGCAAAAGGCCTGACAAGTGATTTGATGGCTTTCACACTTTGTTGGGATTTTTTCCTTTCTTTCTTCTGCAGTTGTAAAAAAAATGAAAGCTATGGAGTATTTCTTTTTTCCAGGTAAAATTAGGGGAAATAAAATATATTCATGATTGAATGCCCAACTGATTGCATCATGACAGTCAGAAGCAGAGGCCTTGTGTATCATTTTGAGTGTGGTCAGCTTACCGCATGATCAGACTTGGTTGCCAGATACTGGTATAAAACATAGAGAGAAAGAAGCTGTGTTGATAATTCATCAAAACTTTCTTGGAGCATGATCTCTGTTACTACTGACATAGCATCTATGGAGGAAAACAATACATAATCAGCATAGCTCCCAGTACACAGTTGCCTTTTGTACCCACCTATGCTCACTCGTGCTTTATTGCTGTAGTATGCTTTGAAATAATTAGGGAGAAAGTTAAACATTTCTTACATCTAGAATACAACTATATAATTAGTCTTATTCATTAGGGTTATTCAAACACACTACAAGAAGGAAGAATGGGCTGATAGCATGAAACTACAGCAAAGGGGCTCTCAAAATCATCTTAGCTCTACACTCTTCAATTGGCCCTTCTTTGCTTAGCTCTTCAATTATTAACCTTTAAAAAAATATTTTAAAATTATTTCTTTGTTCTTGTGTTTTGATTACAAACAAGAGAAGACTGGCTTAACTTCACTACCCTTAGGGTGACAGGAGAGTACAAAGGAGCAGAAATGTTGTCACAGATCACCCACAGCAGTCTCTGTATTCAGCAAACAGTGCTCTGAAGGAGCTCCACAGGGAGTTCCAGTGACACTCCCTGTCAGAAAGGACAGTTTGTTAACAAAAGGCCTTGAGCCTCACACAGAAAAGAAGTATGGATGAAATAAGGGGGAATTCAAAGATGGGGGTGTGTCTCAAAATAAAATAAATACATGTATTAATTTGCCATGTAGCATAACCTTCAGGACAAAAGCTGTTGTTCCTTTCAGTTATTTGTTTTATAAGAGCTTTATGCAAAGGAAAGCTTACTGTAAGTCTACAGTACTAGAAGACCTGAAATGAAATTAAAATCTTTAATATGTCATCAAACACAGGAGGATTATTCATCTGCACATTTAAACATTCAGTAGTGAGATGTACACCCAGCATGACAATTCAGCATAGCTGGCTTGCTCCAGTGACAGACAGAAAGCCTAGACAAAGTTTAGATACAAAGCTTTTTGAACAGCTAAACATATGGAAGATGAACGCTACCACTATGCATTTTGATTCTGATAACATTCTAATTAATTGTCACTAATAACTCCTGTGATGTTATTAGCACATAAATCAGACTTGTAAAAGTTGAAGAAGATGGTTTACATTTGTAATAGGATTAATAACAGTAGAAACTGTGAATCTTACATGTTTTAAAAATCTATAATGAATAAAAACCCAACAGAAATGAGAGATAAAAATGCAGAAAAATAGTTTGAAGGAAGGAGAAGGCATGTTTTACCATGACTTCAGAAAAAATATGGCTAAAAGTTTTTAATTCAAAGACAGGCTCTGCAAATATAAGAGCATACAACAGAGGATGCAGTATCGGTATATATTTTCTTACCTTCATATTTCTTCTGCTTTATAAAATAATCCAACAAAATATTGAATGTAAAATTATCTGGAAAAATTCCATACTGAACCTAAAGAGAAGAATGAAAAAGCTCAGTGTGCAAACGTGCTGTACAAATCTTCCCAAGCACAGCCTTACAGGCATCAGAAAGACCAGAACCACGGCGCTGCGCACTGCAATGTACAGTCAAGCAACACAAGGAGATTAGCATGCCTCCTGTGATGGAGACCTACCAGCTTTTGATGCACTGCATTTGTTTTGGCATTTTATCTAAGCCTTTGGGACCAGGAATGGCGTTGCCTGTCATGTTTTTTATGCCTCTTCTGCACCTAGCATGTTTTGGACACCAATGCTATTTAAAACCAACAAACTTCCTGGGAAAGAAGAGGATTTTAAAAGCTGAAAGAGATAGAGCTAAAATTCAAATGCAACATTAATTTTTATTTTGACAAAGAAATATCTGAACTTAAAACCACAGTGTACAGGATCTGGCTACAACAAGAATTCCAGTCAAGCCACATTTGTCCCAAAAAGCTGATCAAACATATTCATGGATTTTCCTTTGTAAATCTTACTTTGTTTTTTAATGTGTATAAGGCTTTGTCTTCAGCACCATATTTCAAACACTGTCTGATCCAGCTGTGGATGGTCCAGTCTCTCAAGTACCAGCAATTTGGACTATGACGAAACCTAAAAGATGATAAATAGTTCAGGTGACAATATGACTCTGTTATCACAGAAACAAATTCTGTAATCAAAATCTGTGAGTTTCAAAACCCCACCATTCATGAACTCAGATATAAATCTCTCTGTGTTTGCCTTTGCAGTCAATCATCGCTCTCTAAAGAGTTCCAGATAGCCCTTTCAAGTAAAAGAAATGAAACCTTAACACACTAACAGTATGTACAAAGGGGAATCTGACCTTTTCACAAATGCATAATATTTTAAACTTCTCACTTTCCAGAAAGCCTACTGCTTTTCTCCTGAAAAGATGAATACCATAAAATAACAGCTTGGTATGTATGTGAAGGTCAACTTCATATATAAATACTGCTACAAATACTGTAGTGTTTTTTAACCTTGTCCTTGTGATTCTATAACATCATACTGTTGCTGGTCTCATCAAAGAGACGTGACTGATGACATCTGCAAGTATCAGAATTACATCAAAATATAACTGAGTCTGAAATTTAGAGCTTGTGTAATCTGGTCCCTCCCACACTCTCTAACTCATGCCTCACTTCACCACTTAAGAATCCATTATGCCTCAACACAGGTCATCCCTGGGCTGCTTGCATGCTCCATTTGCCTTAGAAATCTTCATCAGTGAGGTAAACCTTATGCAAGGGGAAACTCTGCAGAGAGCCCTTCCCTGCTGCTCTGCACTGACAACCTACTCATACACATCTCATGTCATGGCTTCAGCAGAATTGTCAGGCAACCTACTCCAGTGCTTGACCAATTTGTAAAACTGAATACCTTAAAGTTCAGCCTCTTTTATTTCATCCTTATTCACACACATGCACTTTGCTCTGCGTTTGGAGAAGTGGTGACAAAAAGCAAATGGAGCTCTAACTTTGGCCAACACTCAAACACCAGTTAAAAGTCCAATGTTAGAAACTGCTGCCTTGGTCCTGGGCTGAATTTCACACCCCAGTGTGAAGAGATGCATGCAATGTTTCTCAGTTCAATTTGTATGCATGAAAAATAAGCTCAGTCCCCAGCACAGAAGTGACTGCCAATTCCCTAGAAAATGCCAATGACTGAGCTGAGCTCATGTGCAGATGCTTGCAGCCCCAAGCCAAGCTCCAGCACCATTTAGAGGCAGGGTTGACTCTTCCATCTGAGTGAGCATGCTTTCCAAAACATTTATCAGATTAACGTGGCCACCAACTCCCTGTCCCCCTCAGTAAATCTCTTGCCTATTGCTGAGGGCTACACAGATGACCAAGCCTGGAAAAGTACTGCAGCCTAGAGAGCCTTCAGAATGAAGGAGACATCTGTGCCAAAAGCGGGGCTAAATCACTACAGAGTCTAAATATATGGGATTTTAAGTGGCACATGAAATCTTCCCATTAAATTAGAATTTAATAGAAAAAGAAAAGCATGCTTTGAATATTAAATTACAACATCCACTTTGTTGCTGTAATTGCTTTCCATTTTCTTCCCTCTGGAGTTCAAACATACATTTGCTTTCAATAAAGTCCTGTATCAATAATCCTTACAGGAAGCATCAATTACAGGAATTTGGATTTAATCATATTTTGATTAAAAAATTATCTAATTGCTACAGGCTGTTTCACCAGTGATTTAAGAAGCATCAAACTGGAACACCAGCATGCAGCAATAAAGCTGCTAGCATCTTTTAAAGTTTTATTAAATGGTTAATAATGTTTCACAAGAGGAAAATAAAAGACTCATCTTTCAAAAAACATGACACTGATGCTCTCAAATACTTAGGACTTTCTTTTGATTAAATCTTTGCAGAAGGAAAGCAAGCAGTAAAAAAAAAAAAAACACCAACAAAAAACCACAGCCAAAGGTTTTTGATGGGTTTAAATATTCAACTCTTTGCAGAGCTCTATTTATTCTCTTGAGTACACCACAGTGAGAGAGTGCACCCCAATACCTCCTGCACCTTGGGCTTGCTACAGCTTACTGTAGTGATGAAAACCTTCTAGGTTTAAAGTCAAATCGCACTTGGACAGAAAAAGGCCTAACAGGGATGCAATGCAGTCTAGAAACAGAATGAAACTGATCCTCAGTGAACACTCATCACTGGAATCAACACACACAAAATTCAGAGGCATGTTATAAAAACTCTTAAAAAATCTGCATGAGCTTGGCAGGGCTGGGAATGATTTGAGTGCGCATGTGTATGGTGACCCATAGGATCTCTCATATATTATTACTGTATGTATATTACTCTTACGATTTTTTGCTCAGACTACGTCTCCGCTGTACTAGGTGCTATGCAAATGAAAAGCAAATATCTTCTCAGTTAAGTAGTTTTCTACTTAATTCTAACAATCAATTACAAAGCAGTTGCATGGGAACGAAGAGAAGGGACTGGTGCAAGAATGCAACATATAGGCATGTACAAGATCTCTCAACACTAGACACTTCCATTAATCAATGATGTAGTAGAATTGGAAGTGAAAGGGAAACAAGTATGCTGCAATCTTTGACTGTTTCTGATCCATTTCAGGCTGAGATAAGCTCTGTCTCTATTCTGCTAGCTGAGAAGATAAACCAACAGTTATCTGGTTTTACAGTTGGAATCAGGGAAAAGAGGAGGTTGCTCATCATTTTGACAAGCATTAACATCTTCTTCCTTCTCTTTGTCCACAAAACAGGATATAATTACACAAGGCAATATGTTCAGGGACAGATGAAAAGAAAAAGGAAGCTAAAAACTACAGAAAGCAGAGGATTCAGAAAGAATTAAATAAAGGAAGCCTCTAGCAATTGCTGTGTATTTAATGGAAAAACCAGAAGGTTATCTTGCAGATGCCTGATGCTGAAACTCATTTTTTAGAGAACTAATAAAAACCCAAGAAGAACAGGATTCTTAAAATGTGTTCAGAAAAGACAAAGAGAAGTGACTGTAACAGTATTAGAGAAGCTCTCTGTTGGTACACTTCAATGTTAATGGCTGAAGAATCAATACAGTCATCCTTTCAGTCACTGAGCTGAGAACATCTGCCCCCACAGAAAACACGAAGAGGAATATCTGTAATACAAGAAGATCCTGAAATATCAAGGTCATTGTGAATCTAAAAGCAAATAATGCAGTGGTTCTAGAATTCTCCTTATTTTGAAAAGTTATTCAAATCATGCAGTCCAGAAGTTTAATTTTCACTAACAGTTGCTTTGTACTCTTGCAAAATGATTGTAACGTGGAAGAGATACAGGGAGCATACTGCCTCAGCACAAGGCAACCAGAACATTTTTAGCCAAGCAATTACGCTCTCTTGTTCACAAATTGGTCAGCACCTTGGGCTAAGAATACATTGTCTGTTTACTAAGTTCCTGCATAAAGCCCTATTGCTTATCATTTACAACAGTGCTGAGGTACTCATGCTGTGTGAAACAAACTGAAAAATGAAAAAGTTTAACAGATGCTGAGAGCGCTTCATGGAGTGCTGTAGTACTACAGTAAGCATGACTTACTTACATTGGTGCCCTCACACACTGCAGAAAAGCTGAGTTCCTTCCCTATTTACTTCAAAGGTTCTTTCAATTTTGTTTGGTGCCATCAAGTGGTGATGCACTCTCGTGCTGCTTTCACACACCTTATATTCCCAAGTGAAGTAATATAGCAACCCCAAGAGCAAACAGAAGCACCTCTTGCTGGATCATATTCTTTTCTGTATGTTTGGTAGAATGGAGTTCACTGCTTTGGGGACAGTCACAAATGAGGAAGACACTGAAGGAAAACTTGCTGGATTACAGAAGAGAAAGTGCTGCAGAAGTAATATACTGCAATAATAATAACAGCTCTGCTGTTCTCTTCCTGGTAGTACAGCAGGAAAGAGAGCTCAGCAGATCAGTTCCAATTCTTTGCTGATCAGAAGCTCCATTTTGTACACTGTGGCTTTCTTAAGGGTTGATCCAATTCCTGGTACTGCCAGAGGCTATCCTTGTGCAAGACACTATTTTTTCTCCTTCCCTTCCTTTCTCCACATTTACCTGACCTAATGAGAAAGTACCTTGTAATGATCCACACATCCTAACTTCCTACTTCTCTTACTTCTTTTAAAACTAGAGAGAAATATGGGTCTGCATGTTCATTTGCTTTAATCAGGAGGGGGAAGAGTGTCAGATTTCTTCTCATTCACATAAAATTCTAAAAAGTCCCGAAGCAAAATGTAATGAGACCTAAAATGAATAAATATAGTAAGAAATACTTCTGCAAGCCAGGAAGAAGCTCTCTCAAGGGAATGAATCCAAAGCAACTCCACATTTTACACCAGTTATACAGGGCTGAGAAGCTCCCTTGCAATGCATGTTTTTTTTTCGTCTCAGGCACATTTTTTAAGCTACATAATGATCAAATGGATTCCAGGCAGGCTTAGCTTGGAAACTGGAAGGCTGTCATCCAAAACTCTCCTTTTGTCTGTCATTTCAAGCCACAGGCCCTGGGGAAAATCATCTGCATTTTAAATGGACCCAGGGGCATTGCTCATGTGTCAGTGTCAAAGGCAACAGCCCTGAAAAAACAATTGTTATTGAACAAAATTTCCTTTTAAACACGAACAAAACTCTATTTTTCCATCTCTTCTTTGCCTGCATCTTAGCCTTCACCTTTCTTTGTATACATCCTTTCTAAAATTTCATATATAAACCTATCAGTCCCATACGAAATACCTCACACATTAACCACCTACACTCAAAAACAGAGGGAGCACTTTGCTTTTGTGTTAAAAGAAAAAACTCAAGTAGCATATGTACTATAAGAAATCAACTACCAAAAGCAGTAATAAGACAGGTTAAAAAATTACACACGTCAAGGATAACAGAGGATAGTCTAATGCTGAGGCAGAATCTTACACTAGTAGAGAACTGGTTTGCAGACTCCCCGGGAAAAAGCCCACATACAGCCGCTATTCTATTTTAATTTTTATTGACTTTCCCCCATCTTTTATTTTGAACTAATTTACTCAATTGCTTTGATGCTAAAATTAATT